ACACACACACACACACACACACACACACACACACACACACACACACACACACACACACACACACGCTCTCTCTCTCTCTCTTCTCTATCTCTCCCTCTCGCTTCACAACAAACCTACAAGTTTCAAATATAGAGCATACACGTACACATATGTTTTTCTTCTACTCTAGCTTCTCATTCACAACAACGATATATATTACAAAGAGGACGCTTGGGACGCAGCGAAAGCGCCGCTGCGCCTCACACACACAGGACAGAACAACGTCATATTCAATGGAATCCCTGACTGGGTCTACGAAGGTAAATATAGTACGCGATATATATATATATATATATATATATATATACTGTGTGTGTGTGTGTGTGTGTGTCGTGGGTGTGATGTCGTCGTGTGTGTGCTGTGTGTGTGTGTGTGTGTGTGTGTAGTGTGTGTGTGTGTGTGTGTGGTGTGTATAAAAGGGTCTCTTTCTTCACACACGACACACACACACACACACCACACCACACACACCACACACACACCAACACACATTATATATATATATATAATATATATATATTGTTTGACAGTCGGCTCATGGCACTATTACAGCCATTACAGCAGGAGATATGCGTTGAAATGAGATACCTGCTGTCTGTACTATATTAATGTTTACAAGAAAGCATCTAGGGTCCACGTATTAATTAAACAAAAAGCACAGACTGAAATAATCTCCTAACACTAATATATATGTCTTCTATTATATAAAGTTTCTATATATTTAAAGGGATCTAGAGCTCTAGAATTTTTACTGCATACAACTGTACTTAATCGCTATAACACAAATCAGTCCTATAGCCCACACGTAATTTGGTTACGGCAGATACCTAATTTAATTTGTTATAATTAATTAGCACATCAACGCTACGAAATTTAGAACGGCGACATTGACACCCGCGACCGTGCTGCATCCTGAAAAGATTGCGCATATTTGCCTATATTTATTTTGGGACGTTACTAGACGCGGAGGGGCTAATCACACGAAGGTTGCAATTATATTTATACCTAAATGCTATTTAAACGGCGAAGCGATGTCATTTTTATGACAAATTTATCCATAATATAACCATTATACAAGGTTACACCAGGTAGATCAACCGATTTCTCACAAAACACGAATGTTTGCCAACTTCTGTTCTACGTCAATTGATTCCGAGTTAATGCGTTATTGAAGTAATCATTTCATTCCTTCAGAAGAGATATTGGGCGACGACCATGCCACCTGGTGGTCGCCGAAGGGGCATAGATTGTGCTATGCTACCTTTAACGACAGCAAAGTGAAGGTTATCTTTCGTTATCCGATGTACGGTGAAGACAAGGAACTGTACACGAGTGTAGCGGAAATCAGATACCCAAAGGTAATCATTCGACATTATTTATTATTAAAATAATTTAATATTATTTATTTATGTATTATTAAATTACATTCTTCATTATTTATTTTTAGTATTTATTTATTTATTATTGAATTAGATAAAATGATTCGATATATATATATATATATCTTCAAGAGCTAATAATACCTGAGCAAAGAAAGGGCAAATAATTTCTGCTTAATGCAATACGATTAAAATTATTCTTAGACTCGCAGGCAAAGTAAGAATAATAATTGGCGTGAAATAGCTACTATTTTCCCGTTTTTTCGCGTTGTACTCTCTAGGTATTTATTAGGTCTTTGATATATGATATATATTCCCTGGTTTCTATATTTTAGCGTAATATACGAAGGCGGCACAAAAAGCGGTTGTCGCGTTACCAGTACATATTACAGTGCCCATATATATATATATGTGTGTGTGTGTGTGTGTGTGTGTGTGTGTGTGTTGTGTTGTGTGTGTGTGGATGTTGGTGTGTGTGTGCGTGTGTGTGTGTGTTGTGTGTGTGTGTGTGTGTGTGTGTGGCGCTAGCCGTGTGTGTGTGTGTGTGCGTGTGCGTGTGTGTGTGTGGTGGCGCGTGGCGTGTGCGGTGCGCCGTGGAGTAATGTATACTTCTGCATTACAGTTTCGAGTTAATTAAAATCCGATCTCGGCCTTCAACCGTCGTCTCCGCTCCGGTTTGCCTTCTCTTCGAACCCGAGAAATCAATCAGGTGTTTTTCGAGTTTCCCGGGTTTCGCACATAATGAAAAGAGATTCAATCGAGTGCTTCTCAGAAATAACCGTTTCCCTCAGCACCAGAAGGTTTATTCGAATTTCCTACGTAACAAACGGCCGGTAAATTATGTAACGAAGAAGACTATACTGTATAGTACAGGAATGCTTCATCGTGACTTCACTCTAACCTTACACGTATAGCTGCGAGCATCAGGATGGATGTATATTAAGAGTACATAATAGAGAAGAGTAAACTGGTGAGTTCATATGATTAAGGGAGAATCAGAGAACAAAACAAGGTAAATTTTGAATATATTTATTTACATATTAGGCGCGTTCACACACAAGAAAAACCGCGCTGCTCAGCCCGCTAATAGCGGCAGGATAATAGTGGCCTAATTGTGTGCGTTGTCACACAGGCGAATATTCCGTTAACTTGCCGCGGGGCAATATCACGCGCGGTGCAATAAGCCGCGCTGATTCCAAATTAGTGCAGTTCGGAAGTGTTCTTTGGTAGAGGCGCTATTTTTGAGGCGGCGTTTAAGTGAGCGCTAATTGTCGTTAAACTTGTAAAAAGCTCAGTTTTTTCGAGCGGGCGTGCAAAAACCGGGTTTTGCAGCCCGCTAATTCGCGCCAGTGTGAGCGCACCTATTGATAGAAGAAATTCAAGTTGAAAACTACGAAAAACGATGCTGTTAAAACAGTGTTATACTCTTGATACTATGTAATACTTGATTGTATATTAGAAAAACGCAATAGCCGTGCGATAGAATGAGCATACTCTGATGGCGTTATCGATGTGGGGGTATATATTTTATTTATAATCAAACCCACGAGGGGAGGGGGAAGTATTTGTGTCGCCGTATAGCAATCACATATGTTACGTCTGGACACTACTACTGCTGTGTGTATAGACTGTCAGTAATGAACGTATATGTAGGTGTAGATTGTAGTGTAGATGTAGATGTAGATTGTGATGTAATGTAGATGTAGATGTAGATAAAGATGTAGATGTAGATGTAGATGTGATGTAGATGTAGATGTAGATGTCGATACAGATGTAGATGTAGATGTAGATGTAGATGTAGATGTAGATGTAGATGTAGATTGTAGATGTAGCATGTGTTGTAGATGTAGATGTAGATGTGATGTAGATGTATGATGTAGATGTAGCATGTAGATGTAGATGTAAGGTCTAGGTGTAGATGTAGATGTAGATGGGCAGATACAGATGTAGATGTAAGATGTAGATGTATGATGTAGATTGTAGACTGTAGATACGATGTTAGATGTAGATACAGATGTAGAATGCAGATGTAGGTGTAGATGTAGATTGTAGATGTTAGGATGTAGAATGTAAGAATGTAGATGGTAGATTGATAGGTGTAGTATGTAAGATTTAGATGTGAGATGTACGATGTAGATGTAGATGTAGATGTAGATGTAGATTTGTAGATGTAGGTATGTAGATGTCGATGTAGATGTAAGATGTAGATGTAGATGTAGATGTAGATGGTAGATGTTAGATGTAGATGTAGATGTAGATGTAAGGTGTAGATGTGATGTAGATGGGTAGGGATGTAGATGGTACAATGTGATGTAGGGTGTAGATGTGATGTAGATGTAGATACAAATGTAAGATGTAGATGTAGATGTAGATGTAGTATGTGATGTGTAGATGTAAGGTGTAGATGTAGATGTAGATGTAGATGTAGATGTAGTATGTATGATACAGATGTAGATGTAGATACAGTGTAAGATACAGATGATAGTGTAGATGTAGATATCAGATGTAGATGTTAGATGTAGATGTAATGTTAGATGTGATAGTATGATTGTAGCTGTAGATGTAGATATAGATGTAGATGTAGATGTAGATGTAGATGTACGATGTAGATGTAGATGTAGATGTAGATGTAGATGTAGGTGTGAGATGTAGATTAGATTGTAGATGTGTAGATGTAGATGTAAATGTAGATGTAGGTGTAGATGTAGATGTGCTTTTTTTTTTGTTAAGATTACAGATGTAGTGTGATGTGATGTAGAATGTGATGTAGATGTAGATGTGGTGTAGATGTAGAATGTAGATGTAGATGTAGATGTAGATGTAGATACAGATGTAGATGTCAGATACAGATGTAGATACAGATACAAATGTAGATGTAGATGTAGATACAGATGTAAGATGTACGATTTGTAGATGTAGATGTAGATGTAGATTGTAGATGTAGATGTAGANGAGAAGAGAGAGAGAAGGAGAGAGAGACATCGAGAGACGAGAGGAGAGAGTGAGCGGAGGAATGAGAATGACGAGAGAAAAGCGAGGGGAGAGAGAGCAAGAAAAGAGAGGAAAGTGACGACCGCCGAGCCCACGAGACGAGATGAGAGAAGAGAGAGAGAGAGAGTAGAGAGAGAGAGAAAAGCCATGAAGAGAGATAGAAGAGAGTAGAGAGAGGAGAAAGAGCGGAGAGAAAAGAGAAAGAGAGAGAGAGGAGAGAGAGAGAGAAAGAGACGGAGAGAGAGACGGAGAAAGCGAACGGAGAGCGGAGAGGAGAAGGAGAGAGAGCGGAGAAGAAGAGAGAGAGGAGGAGAGAGAGAGAAACAGGAACGATGAGAGGATGCCAGGAGAGAGAGACCGGGAGACGAGGATAGGAGAGAGCAGATAGAGACGAGAGAGAGAGGACAAGAGGAGAGACAGAGAGAGATGGCGAGAGAGAGAGAGAGGAGATCGAGAGAGAGGCACGAGAAGAAGAGACGAGACAGAAGAGAGAGAGAGAGACGAAAGAGCAGAGAGGAGGGAGAGAAAGGAACGAGAGAGAGAGAGAGAGAGAGAGAGACGAGACGAAGAGAGAGAGACGAGAGACAGAGAGAGAGATGAGAGAGAGGCAGAGAGAGAGAGATAGTATGGGTTTTCTTCTCACTTGCTATTCACTATCAGGACGTAGAATAACCATACGGCAGCGGAACAAGTAGAGCAACAACCCAGACTAAGCCTGGTATTATATATATGCTCAACTTATAATTATTTATTATTTAGTTAATTATTAATTATTATATATATATATATATTAATTTATTTATTATTTTATTATTCTATATTGCGCATTTTTACATAAATGATCAAAAAGCGCCGCACATTTCAACAATTCTCGCAACGAGCTCGAACAATAAAATGAAAGCGATAATAAAAGATCTTACACTCGTTGACCCCCGCTAGTATCGCTAACTTGCTGACACGCATAATGCATATTAAACAAAGTTGACTATGTAATTTCACTAAAATCTCTATTATGACTCTCTAATCTAAATCTAAACAGTCTATATATCACTAATATCCAGATAAATTCCTATACATCAAACCTCAATTTAAGACGATAAGTTTTGAAAAGCCGGTTGCAATATTGCGGGAGTTTCTGACGGAGGTTCGAATCATCATAGGAAGCGACGGAGGATATATACATCACTAACTATTTCGCCAGATAAAATCCTATACATCAAAACCTAATTTCTCAAGAAATAAGTTTTGAAAGGCGTTGAAATTAATGCGGAGTTTCGACGGAGGTTCGATCCATAATTGATATGCTGATCGTTTGGTAGGCAGGAGATATATATATATATATAAGTGGTGTGTACGATATGTATATCAGGGGTTAAATTGACTAGGCGTCACAAAATTTCGCATGGTCAATTCTCTTTTGCCCATTCTTGTTCCACATTAAAAGTAAAACTAAGGCGGCCCAGGACTAAACGTATCGTTCAAAGTCTTACCTGATAAGATTGTTTCATCAACTAGTTAACAACCTCCAAAAAAACCTGGACGATTTGATATTATGTTCCTGACATTAAATCGCTTGCCTACTTAGGGCCTATGTCATGGGTCACGGGTGGCTATGTTCACATCGAACAACTTTATAAAAATAAGAAGTATAATGCAGCACATTTAAACCATAAAAAAGTGAAACAGAATTACTTATATTTTAGTGAAAAGTGGAAATGCTCTCTCCTCTTTTATTTTTTTTGACTATTGACGGTGACGTAATCACTTTTAACAATGACAAACATTTGCCTCCATTATTAACCGCTGATTAGAGAGTGTTATAACGTATATTGTTATATATTACTATACCCTATACTGTATAGCCTATATAGTATCAATTAGTCATACTTATATTGTACTTATATGGTATATATACTTATATATGTGTCGTGCTGTGGATCGTTGTCACTCTATTAACCCCTGATAATACTATTAAACATATATATCGCTTACCTATATATAATTGTACCCTGTATATGTATATATATACTACTATATATATACTCCCATATATATATCCCCTTGTACATGCTGTGGATCGTTGCAGGCAGTACTTACTTCACGCGGGTGAATGTTTCTGCGCATCGACCGGCGCGAGTGTCGGTCGCTCCCTCTCCAGAGCCGACATCAGAACTTCTCCGCCTTATGTGCAATATGCGATGCGACATCGGAGCGGAGCGTGTTGAGCGCGGGTAAGTGAAGGAGTTACTGTGTGGGTGGGCGGGATGTGTGTGCTGTGTGTGGGGTGTCCCCGCTCGGTGTGCGTGTGTGTGTGGGTGTGTGTGTGGTGTCGTGTTGTGTGTGTGTAGTGCTGTGTGTGTGTGTTGTGTGGATGGTGGGTGTGTGTGTGTGTTTTGTTGTTTTGTAACTTTGTATCTAGTTATAGACTATTTAACTATATTATAACTATTATAACTATTATATACTATATTATAATAGTATAAACTATATTTATAACTATTTATTTAAAAACTATATAACTGGTATAACTATTCATAACTAAGTATTAACTATATAACAGTGTCTCTCCGCGTCCTGCCAGCATGACACCGCTACACTAGAGAAGACCGGATGCCGGGTGGAGGATGTCGCAGCCTCCTCTCGTTTGCCATCTATTAACTATTATAACTAGTATAACTATTATAACTATATAACAGTGTCGCTCTCCCGTCCCTGCAGCATTACACGTACATGGAGAAGGACGGATGGGTGGAGGTGTACGCACCTCCTCTGTTTGCTGACGATCTACGGAGCTACTTCTACATTCTCCCGCAACGCGATGCCAACCACGGAGACTTCATGCACGTCACCATGCTGGAGATGTCCGTACGTATATACAGCCTGTTCTGCTTGCATCTATATGACAAATTCGACATACGCATAATTATACGCTCTCTTATGACACTATTTGTCATTGGAAGATTCTTTCTATGACAAATATTGTTGTATGTGTTGGATGAGGGCCGTAGGCTGAACAAATTCCTAAGGAGGGCAGTGGCGGATCCAGAATTTCAAGGAGGAGGTGAGAAATAGGTGGGGGGTCTGGAGGTCATCCTACAGAACATTTTGAAAATGTAGATCGCAGGAGATGGTATTTGAGGCACTTTTGAGTACATGTACAGCCTTCATTCTGACTACGACAATTCTTTTAGTAGAACAATTAATTTTTTTAATTTTTGCTCCAAAATCTAGGGGGCAGCTGCCCCCCTTGCCCCCTCCCCCCCGCAAGCTACGGCCCTGTATATAACATCCAGGGTGGTGTCATGTGGTTTGGATTCTAACCAGACGCAAGACTTGTTGCCTGCAAGATATTATGGCCGTGATCAGGAGTATATTATAATATCAAAGATCGTGAAATTATCGACTTCAGCCTTTATCAATACTCTACTTGCGACTTCCTCTCTTTCCCGAATCTTGTTAATTTAAACTTTTTTTTATTTTGTTTTCAATTTCAATCAATATATTTACACTTATGGCAATTAGCCTACATATTGAAGGTATTATAATGGTTAAATTAATTAATTAACAGAGCTGACAAATTTAAAGAAGTGAAACTAAATAAATAGAAGTGATCGAGGGTGAAATGAGAATTTGTTCTTCCTGTCAGCCACTCCTGTAAATTACAAAATATTTCTTACGAAAATTAATAAATTACATAATACAATACATAATATATAATAAATTACATTAAATTGACTACGTCACGAATTTTCTATTGTGTATATTCGTAAATTTTTGTTGCCATTTTTTACATTAAAAGCAAGTACTAACGGCACAAAATGTATCCTCAAATTCTTACCTGATAAGATTGTTTTTCAACTAGTTAAAAATCAAAAAAATCTGGACGATTTGATATTATGATCCTGACAATAATTGCTTGTTATGGGTTATGTATGAGTCACGAGTGTATGTTTACATCGAACAATATAGTAAAATAGGAAGTATAATGCAGCGATTAACCATAAAAAGTGAACAGAATTACTTACATTTTGTGAAAAAGTAAAAATATTTTTTTACTTTTACTATTTACGGTGACGTAATCACTTTTCTAATTCGTAGCGCCCACACGGTAATGACGTACGTAAGCATTGTTATTGATTCGCCGGGAATTTTCCCACAGGAAGTGAACGAGATCCCGCTCACTCACGGCACGTATGACGTCACGGCAATCGTCGGCTACGATCACGAGAAGCGGCTCGTCTACTACGTCGCCACGGAGAACCATCGCGAGTACGCCAGGCGGCGCCACCTGTGGAGCGTCGGCACGCCCGAGGCCGACAGTCCGCGGAAACCCGTGTGCTTGACGTGTAAGCTGGAGAACGGGTGCGAGTACTACGATGCTTACTTCAACGACAACGGCAAATACTACGCGCTGTTCTGCCGCGGTCCCGGACTGCCTAGATGGACGCTGCACAGCACGGAGCAGCCGGAACCCGGTAGGTTCACACGACGGGGGGGAAGTCTAACGTGCGCTAAAGTGTAATGTAAAAAAGTAAATTGGTTAAAGGAATTATATTGAAAAATAGAGTAATGGAAAATGGAACGTTGAAAATAATATAGATAAAGTTGTAGGAAAAAAACATGTGAAAAATATATTGGATAGCAAAAGATGATACAAAACATATAGCAGAAAATGAAGATATAAAAAATACTAAATGACAAAAAATATGCAACTCACAAACAATTAAACTATTATACTTTTAAATTTATACTTTGGAATTTCAGAGACTTATCAGAATGTTTCCGCAAAACCTACAATATAACTGGCTTTTTCGACCTTGAACGTTTCTCGAGGACAAACGTCTATCCTTGTAATATATTAGGCTTTTCAATAAATATCTGAGAACGCAATAGAGTATTGATTTACTGAGTTTTGCAAGCTAAAACGGAAGAACGATTGAATTTCGTGTCCCTTATTGATTTTGCTAGTGACATCTGGTTGAGAGATTTATTGAAATCGGTTAATTTTCGTTATGTGGAAATTGTGCAGTTTCAGTAACCGTATATATAATCTGGGCATAAGGATAGGCAACGAGCGGTTTCGTGGAAATCTAATCTAGTATAAAATCTATAGATAATCTAACGGTTAGATTTGGTCTGTAGGTAATGTCACGAATATTCAAACGAATTGCTGAAAAGGCCATCCCCATATTATATCTACCTCACACGTATTATCTCATCCACGAATAATTATGTATGCAAAATGCATTGGCAATTAGGACCATTGATTAATTTGAGTTTATATTAATTGATTATGTAATTAGTTTAAGAAAATTAACTTAAATTGCATTTGGCAATTAGGAATAGCAATTAGTCAATCACTGACACGTCATCATTGATACGTCATCATTAATGCGTCATTATTGATACGTCATCATTGATACGTCATCATTGATACGTCACACGTCATATTGCAGTGAGAACGCTGTATTCCTTTGACGAACTCAACGTGTCCGTATCAAGAACGGCGCTGCCGAAGAAAATATACTTCCAAGTTCCCGTCGATGACAACTACAGTGTGTATAAAATCCTGATATCCTGATATTTCACGAATAATGGTGACGTCATAACCAGCATATAAGAATAAATATAATAATAATATGATAATAGACGTAAGAATAATAGAATATAGTAATAAAAGAATCTATTTCGATGGTGTTACGGTGTGAGACGCTTTCATGCCGACTGATATTGAAATTATTCCACGTTGCCTTAAAAACCCCGACAACAATATGAGATATATCAAAGAGTATTCTGAATAATATGTGTTATATTTTATTGCAGAGGTGAATGTGCAAATGCTGTTGCCTGTAGAATACAAGGACGATGAGGTTCTTTTGTATCCACTACTCATTAATGCGTAAGTGTCAAAAATTCCTTTTTATCATCCTTTTTATTCGTTCTTAGTCTATATCTGGTTATATAGGTTTAATAACCTATATAAGTTTATTATATAATATCGTAACCTATATTCGTTTAATATTGCACATTCGTGGCAACTCATAACGTGGTAAAGCTCACACGGAGCTGGAAGGGTAGCAGAGTTTATGAAGCAAATCCATTATTCAACCGTCATTAGCTGCTATCTGTATTCAATTTTGTATCACATATTTGGTTTCATCTACATATTACATATGTATATATATATATATATATATATATTGCATGAAACGTGTTACTAATAAATCTTACATGCAACTTTATAATCATTGCATCTCTGTTATTTTTTTCCTTCTGACAGGGGCAATAAATTGTAAGTAACTACCTCTTATTAACTATAAACTGCAGTAATTTGTTTATGGCTAGTAAATATCGATAAATTCTGGCGTCGCTCTAGCGTGTATAACTGGCTGCTGTAGTGGACATGTCATTTGTCATACGAAGTTATACTCCCATCAACTAGAACCAATGAGACAGCATGTTTGAATTCTTTGGTCTTCTTTATTGAACTTACTTCGATATTTCATGTTAAAATAACGCTGGATACGTGTTACAAGCTCGTGCAATCGTGTATGTGTGCGCGCGTGTACGTAGTCATGTGTGCGCGCGTGCACGAATGCAATCATACTCACACACACACACACACACACACACACACACACACA